TCTTACAGGTTTTGAATATAGATGAATTTCAGTCAATATCTACTAAGTCCTTTTATGTACACACATGGTTTTCTCTGTGTGTCGCATTTGATTTTTATGAGTAACACCTGTTCATTGGACCAATAAATGTCATTGTTAAGATCACTTTTCTAATCTGATAGCCATCCCAATGCAGCACCACAAGTTACTTTTGAAATTGTTACTGTTCCAAAAATTCTAAATGAATGTTCTTTCCAAGAATTTTTTTAATGTTCATGTAGTTCAGCTTGCTAGCTGAAGCTTCTCTCCCCACTTGCCTCCTTTTTTTTAAAAAAAATGTGGTAATACAGGGTAGGGCCATTCACATTTAATTCATCAGTCATAGAATTGTTTCACAACACTATCTGAAAGTTTTAATTAAAGGAAATCGGAACAAAACCACCAGAAACGGTAAACTTATTTTTTAGGAAGAAAATGTTGTTAAGTACTGGGAAGCACTATTTATAATGAAAGGAGAAGTGCATAAAGGAAATAAGTATGATTGGTTCTTAAAAAGGAAAAGCGAGAGGATCTGTGCAAAGAAAAATGAAGGAATGTTTTAAAAATGGCACATTCAGTTATACCCCTAAACAACTTAATATCCCATCAGAAAACTTAAAGCACATTTATATTGAAGGAAAACAATAGAATTGTAGCATTAGAAGGCATAGTGAATATTTATTTATCTATCTATCTATCTATCTATCTATCTATCTATCTATCTATCTATCTATCTATCTATCTATCTATCTATCTATCTATCTATCTATCTATCTATCTATCTATCTATCTATCTATCTATTTATTTCATTTATACCCCGCCCATCTGGCCTATAAGACCACTCTAGGCGGTATAGAAAAGCAGAAGGTATAAGAATGTCACATTTGTTCCAGAAGAATGAAAAGGTACACACAATCAAAACTATACATTTTTGCCCTATGTTATTTAATTCAAATTAATTACCATCCAATGGTTCTTTACTCCATCATAATATGGCATACCTCACTTTGATCTGTAAACATATACTGAACGTGTGGCAAAGATATACTTTTTTACCTCCCACGTCATTGACTATGTGGGTTAAATATTAACAGTTGTGGGTTAAATAGTAACAGTTGTAATATTTAACAATTAAGTGGCCCTGGATATCTCCCTAGACCTAGACTACAGTATATGTGCAGGAAAGCAGTTATGGCTTATTTAGGATATACTGATAGGAATTAAGGTTGCCTCCAGATTTGGGGAGGGGGCTTCTAGTAATATCAAACACAAGGAAATATACAGCTAATCTATCATTTCCCTCTTTACAGTTTTTGTAAAGGAAAAAAAAACTGACATAGAAGCAGCAGTAGGAAAACACAGGAGGGTTATTTGTGGGAGATGATGTCATCTGGACTCTTCTCCCCATAAAGCTGCATGAATGATTCAGAGCAATTGGGTTATAAAAGACTAATTTAGATGTACCCTGATTTAGAATGTAACCACAGAAGTATACGTGTCAGAAAATCTGATACAAACTCCAATATATAAACCCACACTGTGACATATTAATGGCACTTAGTGGTTAAATTAATGAACTATAAAGTCTGCACCTCAAATCTTAGCTTAGCCATGAAGGCATTGGGTTGTCTTAAGCAGTTTATTATTACTCAAACTTATGGGGATACATTTATACCTTATAGAATAAAGATTACCAAGATACTGTTAGTAAAGTTCTTTGAAGACTGTGGAAAGGGCTAAGTAAACATACCGTGTTTCCCCGAAAATAAGACAGGGTCTTATATTAATTTTTCCTCCAAAAATGCATTGGGGCTTATTTTCAGGGGAAGTTTTATTTTTTGCATGTACAACAATCTATAGTTATTCAAATACAGTCATGTCATCTTCTTCTGGTTTCTGCACAATGGTTGATGGTGGAGTTTCACTTAACTGGGTCTTTTTTTGGGTAGTGCTTATGAGCATCCTGAAAAATCATACTAGGGCTTATTTTCAGGTTAGGTCTTATTTTCAGGAAAACAGGGTACAGTAGTTCTTTCTACCTCACAGCAAAAAGGAAAAAGATTCCCCATATTACATTAAATCTTCAGTCCTACACATGTTTCATTGTAAAATAAATCCCCTTGTGTCAAAATGGGCTTGCCTGTAGATAAATATGAATAGTTTGTATCACAGTCAGTTATCACCTAAAAGGCTGGCACTGTTATTTATGGTAAATACTTTTAGCTACTGAAGAAAGGGATGCCAGAGATGAAAATACTGTAATGGTGATTTGGGATGAACATAATCATCTGGATTGTCAAGGATAAATGGTGAATAAATGGTCTCAGTGCCAGAAAATAAGTTTAGTGTTAAACTGCCATACTTCAAAAGGGAAAGAAGGGATGGCCATTGGGAATTAGTGGAGAACAACCCCCCCCCCAACACACTTTTATCATTTCTCTGTTTCTGTGTGGCTTCCATTCTGGAAAATGATTACCTTTGCATTCTGTATACAGGAGTGTTTTTTAAGATCAAAATCGCCACAGCAGCATCAATGTACATGTGGGCTGGAGAACTCCAAATGACAAGACAAGCTAGATCAACCTTGCTGTTTAGGTGCACAATTCTAGGCACAAGGACTGTGGAGGGGGCGGATATCCCTTTGAAACCAGTGAGACTTTGTTCTTCTTCTGAGTAAACACATATATGAAAAGACTGCAAAGGAAACTCATAAAACACAAAAGCTTTGTGGACAGAAAATATGAAAGGGCGAGGCTTCCTTAAAGGTAAATGGAGTCAGATGCAAATGGGAGAAGGCTATGCCCCCCTGCCAGCATGTTTGCTTTTAATGACTGTAATGAGGTAAAGTATACTCCATTGTATGATCTTGCTAGGAGAAACTTGCCAGTGGAATAGCAGCTGTTAAACTGGTGGCAGCACCATCACAGGGAACAGAGGGCTACCCTTTGGAGGAAGAGAACCTTCCTCAGCCACCTTAACCCTAACATCCTTGGTTTCTGCCCTGACTTTCTAAAGGGCAGCTTGAAAGAGCAAAAAACAACACACCTGTCAATCTCTACCATGGTCAAATTATTCTTCCTACAGTATATTAATACAGTATTTCCAGCTCTTTACCATGGTTGATTTGGGTCTTTTCTTCAACAGCCTCAACAAGGATTATGATGCCACAAGGGACTCCATTTAATCCCGACGAAGCAAGGTAAAGGTAAAGGGTCCCCTTGACATTTAGTCTAGTTGTGTCTGACTTTAGGGCGAGGTGCTCATCCCCGTCTCCAAGCCTTAGAGCCAGCGTTTTGTCCATAGACAGTTTCCATGGTTACATGGCCGGCATAACTAGACACGGAACATCGTTATCTTCCCACCAAATTGGTACCTATTTAGAAAAGAACAGCCATCCTTCAGTCTCGAGAGACTATGGTATCGTGCTCTGCATGGAGGACTTGGAACAGTGTCTAGTATGGCTGAGAAGGCCAATTCGAAAGTGACAATCCTTTCCACACTGAGGACAAATACAATCTGTATCCCGTCTAGCTCCCTGATTTTGCTGCTTTCGTGACCTCCTCTTTGCCTTGGCCTGCTGGACAAGGGGCTCTTCAAATTGGGAGAGGCCATGATGCACTGCCTGCCGCCAGGCTGAACGCTCAGATGTCAAGGTTTCCCATGAGATCCACTGAGATCCATTTCCAAGGCCTTCAGATCCCGCTTGCAGATGTCCTTGTATCGCAGCTGTGGTCTCCCTCTGGGGCCATGTCCCTGCACTAATTCTCCATATGGGAGATCTCCTGTATGGTACCTATTTATCTACTTGCATTTTTGCATGCTTTGAAACTGCTAGGTTTGCAGAAGGTGGGACAAGTGACGGGGGCTCACTCCATTGTGTGGATTCGATCTTATAACTGCTGGTCTTCTGACCTTGCAGCACAGAGGCTTCTGCGGTTTAACCTGCAGCACCGCCATGTCCCTTTTGAGGAGGCAAACCATAGTCCAGAATATAACTACTGCTTGTCCTCAAAGGAAGATGCCCAGAAGGCGGTCATTTGAACCCACGACTGGAATCATGCCACTTCGCATGAAAGGCTGCCAAATATTTGCCTATCGTAAGTTCGATGCACAGCAATTTGATGATGATGATGATGATGATGATGATGATGATGATGATGATGATGATAATGATAATAATAATAATAATAATAATAAGAAGAAGAAGAAGAAGAAGAAGAAGAAGAAGAAGAAGAAGAAGAAGAAGAAGAAGAAGAAGAAGCACCACCACTGCTTCGTGGCAAAGTTTAATTCCCTGCTGATCCCTTCCGACCTAAAAGGGCCAAGGGGGTAGGCCTGGGCCGGCGTTACCTCTCCTCCATTCCTGGTCCGTTGGCAACCCTAATTAATGGCTTTCTGCGCAAGATGCCTGAGGTCAAAGAGGCAGCTCCGCCGCGGTTGTCCCCGCCGGCCGGCCGGCCTGGTTCCCTTTCTTCCCCACCCCCGTCGCCCAGCTTGAGCTCTCCACGACCCGCAGCCACCGCCCAGGCCCAAGCGAGACGCTCCTCCGGTCCCCGCAGAGCTTCCTGCTTCCCACAAGGTGCCGAAGAAGCCGCTTCTCTGCGACAGGAACTGAGAGACTGAGAGCGAGCCAGCGAGACGCAGGAGCGGCAAGCGGGGGAGGCGGCGCTGCTCTTTCGGCCGCCGTCACGACGAGGCGAGCCGCCAGCCGGCCATGGGCCACCCTGGGCGAAGACGCCTGTAAGAGGCAGACCCCCGCCC